TTCGTAAATATTGAAAAATGTAGTAAGTTCAAACTTAAATCACAAGTCGGCACGGGTTAACCTTATCTGATCGAACCAAAACTTTTTGTAGTTCATTTTTATACATATAGGCACAATATTAGGGGGTGAGACCAAACATATTTTAAAATCAAAAATTAAGGAACACCCTAATATAGAGTAAATGTTCTCTCTGTTTAGCCGTGTTTTTAAATGGTCAATTAAAATCTTTATTACCGGATTTCTTTTTTGAATTTAATAAGTCAAACAATTTGTCCATATGCTCGATAAATGTTATTGTAGTTTCTGCAGTTAAAGGCAATGAACCACCTTGAACACAATATTGCATAGCTGCTGCTACTGTGTTGCTAAAAACTTGAACTGCATATTTCACCTTCATTTTCTGAAATGGTCCCGGATTGATGTGAGTTTCAGATAACTTGGGTGCAAGCCGATTCAAGCCTTGGTCTGATTTATAAAAGTCAACAAGATATTTTTTTTCTGTAGTACCATTTAAAACAATTAAATTATACTTGAAAAAATTATTTCTTGTTGACTTAAGTAGATGTGGTACGTCAAATACATAAAATATTTTGTGGCCATTAACATAAAAGAATGGACGTTCACATGACACATTCATTGATTTGGAAAAACTAGTAAAATTTGATCCTTCGTCGTTTGTTAATACTCCAATATTAAGATACGAGTGATTACGGCAAATATGGTATTTTGAAGATGAATTCCAGTACAGCTATTGTTAATAAAAAAATATGCTATAGGTTGCTTCCAATCATAATTTATGCTTCTCAACATAAAACAGAGTACATGCTTTGCTGGTTCGTATGTTTTTCTGTCATATGAATGATTAAATCCTACTATATAATCTTGGGAAATATTATAAAATAAATGCGTTTTGATTGACATCTYGTCAATGCATAAAACACAATCCTTTGCATTATCTTTGAAATCACTAATMTTCAATTCCAAAGTTTTGAATATGATGTCATTTAATCCAGGCACTATACTAATCCTCTCTGTGACTCTGCGTAATGTTCTTGGACTCATGCAATTGTAATAATGATTTTAAAAATGTGTACACACGCGGACCAAAAAAATATATAGTTAGTGCCAACTGATTGATTTAACTTGAATAACGGTAGCCTTAAGGTTTTCTCTTACCCATTTCAACATACTGTTTTATAAGCATGCACAGGTTAGGAGGTAAATGTGCTTCAACTACTCTGTTAAACAATTCAACTGAAGTCACATCTATTGCATTTGCCTGATTTTTCATAGCTACTACTTCACTTAACACATTCATTTTCAGTTCTAACTGTTCGTATTTATTTTTCATTTCTTGAAGTTCAGCTTTATACTTTTTCATTATTGCGGTATGTAATGAGAGAATTTGAGTAGTTTGAGTAGATGAGGAAATCGAACAATCAGCAGAATATGATGAACTTGGAGATAGGGAACCTAAAGAAAAACAAAATATAATTATTAAATATGCAAATTAAATAAACCATTTGTAGTTTAAATTCAGTAAATTATTTCTATTTCATTTTAAACAATAACAATATAGAATTATATCTATCTTATATTACAACTGAACACCAGTAACAACATTATCAATTTATATCAAGGCTGAGCATTAACTAGTTAAAAAGTTAAAGTTAATTTTATTTTAACTATTTAACTTAGGTAACTAGTTACTTTTGACTTTTCATTACCTAAACTGTTAATTTATTTTGTTTTTAATTTTATATATTTTACTATTTCAGTCTATGTTTAACTTAATTTGAGGTCCAACGGTACACTTATCTATTAAGCAACTATCTTTAATGCCTTAATGAGTAATGACTATATTATGATATTAACATTATCATGACACCTGTATTTCATTACAATGCTCAAATTATTTTTACTATACTACCTATATTCAAACATTTTTAAATAACTGTCTAATATATACAAAAGTGAAAAGTCATTGTATAATCCTTCAATCCTTGTCACTTTAGACTTTGGATAGTATATAATAATGTGTTCCAATAATTTATATACATTTTTACAAAAGTAAAAATATATCATATTATATAACATTAATAAAGTAGGTAATAATATTTACATTAGTGATGGGCATAATCGAGATATCTCGATTATGAAAATTATATCGATTATATAATCGAGATATTTCGATTACGAAAATAATATCTCGATTATATTATATTCGGATGATTTATTATAATCGAATCATACTTTCTAATGATATCTCGTTTATTAAGTTTATTTTTAAAACAATGAATTCTTAKCCTCAAAATARTCAAAATGTTAATAATCGGATATAAATTATTTGGAATGAATGAATGACGTCCATGAAACGAGGGAATTTAACACTAATAAGTACTAAAATAACAGTAATAAACAAATAACTAACAGTTTACTGTAGTAAAAATTAAAAATCTGTATATTTCTTAGTTTCTTACCAATTGAATAMGATTTATTTAAAAATTTAGTTTCTAACAATTGTCTTGATAACTAATGATAATTCTCATTACTAAATATTATTCGATATTTCGTTCAAAACATTTCGATTATTCGATATTTCATTCAAAACAATTCGATTATTTTGAACGAGTGATATCTCAATTATTAATATTTCATTTGGACATTCGAATGATTATTTCGAGTGATATCTCGATTATAAAAATGTCTCGATTACTAATCATTCGATTATTAAAATCATTCGATTATGCCCATCACTAATTTACATGATGAAAAAAACTTACAAGAAATACAAATTGAATCCTTTTGTTTTGTTGGAGTACTCATGGCAACTGAATTATTAAACAATAATGGATCTGATATACTATTATCCACACATGAAGTACTGCAAGCATGTTCTTTAAAGATCATTGCTATAAAAATAAATAATAATCAGTTAAGTATAAAATATGTTATAATATGTAAAATTATAATTACAGAAATTAGTAGGAACAGCATTAGGAAATAAAACTGTTTTATCAGGGTTTGAAAACATTTTGTCCTTAAAATGGTCTGAACACACCACATGGTGCTCTGATGATTTTTCTAATAAATCTTGACGACTGCAATTTATCAGCCAATTCTTACGACTAAATTTTTAAAATTATAATTAGATACATATACATAATATATTATAATTTATAAATTAGTGACAGACTAGATTAAACTTACCGCAATTCATCTTTAGGTATCTTAAACATTTTGCACTTCTTCATAGTCAACTTACTAGAATTATTGCATTCTTTCACAATGCATACATTTACCATGATGATAGCACAGAATAAAACAGTTAGAAATTTATGTATTGAAAAATATAAAATGTCGATCAAACAAATAAATTCAAAATACAAAAACAGCGTTAAGTGCAAAGGTGCAAAAGAGTCAGTGAGTCACTAGTCGTACGTAACGCGTATCAAACTATCAAACGGCAGTTCGGCACGGACAGCCGACAGAGCAAACCATGACCAAGTCATGGACCAAACAATAAACATAAAAATGGTGTACTTATCATTACTATACTCAGTGTGAACATTTATACAAACGTAAAAATTCTTTATTATGCCAAGGTAATTTACACACTGTGTACCTCAGGTGTCATGGCTGACTGATTCTCTATTATCGGCCCGCCGCCCAAAAGTGTCCACTTCCTGTTATCATTTCGGGAAAATGATAAGGCTCACCGTCGACTGGAGCAAATATGCTGCTCGTGCCAACTATCGATACGGGTACTATCACAGATTATCTGTGGTACAATGGTGCAGTGTTATTGTTATCAACACGAGTGCAGAAACAAGACACAGTGCATTTTGGCGGTTTGGAGTGTTTGGACTGTTTGGAGGTTTGTACATTAATGGACAATAATTAAATAATGCTGATGAGCGACGAACGTGTGGTATAGTATCAGTGTTCGCGTGTTGTGTGCTCGAGTGCAGTCTGAGTTGGAAAACGGTATAGTAGCCGTGGTTTTTAATTTCTACTGATATCACAACCGTTTTGTATGATTATGTTTTACCCATATTTTAGTAATATAAATATTACTAGGATTAGTAGGACTAGGATTTACTACTGTATCGTATGATTTAAAATAGTATAGAAGATGTTTTTATAATACCGAATTCGTGATTGGTCGTTTATTGTCTACTGCGTGGCGTTACCTTAACAGGGATTACGAAAATTTAAAATGTAAGTATTATATTTTGGAGTTTAGAAAACCATCTAGGTTTTATAACGTTTTTTTTTCAGATTTTTCTTGGTTGTCTTTTGGAAATTCTTAGCCACTGTTTTTTAATAGCCAGTTTTTAGCCATGTCTTCATCCGATGCTTCTACATATCTCTAAATTTGTTTCTCATGATGGGGTAGGTACAATTAAATTATGATTATAACTCTCATATATTTTATTTCATATTTAAGACTAATTTATTTTTTAAAGATATATTTATAACATTTTTACTCATACTTAATTACTTTGTTAATGATATTATAGTSATATAGAAATGGTTTTAAATCCACAAATACTTGCTTTTTTATTTTTTTGTGGTAAGTATAACACCAGTTGAAACATCTGTTGATTTAAACCATTTAAATCATGTTTTAAGTATAGTTATTATGACTTAGATCATATAAGTACAATGGATAGCCACAGCTGAACCTTATGTAAAATAAGAATGCTGAATGTTAYAAATATATTATCAAGGGGACATGTAGCTATACTGTCCATATTGTGTTCCTTTTTTCTTTTTATCGTTATCTACTATTCTATAAACTAGTACTTCAAATTATATTTATCTGTCCACTGTTAATAATTTTATTTATCTTGAACTACAATGTCTACACTCTATGGCATACACCTATAAAGATTTTTTATATTCTAATTATGTGTATATAATTTTTGTGTTCTTAATTATATTTAAATCTCAGATTTCTAAATTATACAATACACATATTTCAATACTGTCAACTCTGTGTCTCTGTACCTTAAAACTATATAAGAGTAACTTAAAGCAGCTAGCTTCTGTGCATGGTGGCTGAAAGGTTTGTGGCTACTGGGTGTCGTGTCGCGTGTCGCCTAGCTTGCATTTTGAAAAAATTTACTTGTAAAGCAAATTTTTAGTCATGAAATCATGACCAAACTTAAGAAATAAAATGACAAGAGTTAACAAAAACCAATCTATCAAAGGGTGKTCTGTTTATAATATAAAAATTGGTTGTTGTCTAAGGTTACTCTTGTATTACAAGTTGGAGTTTTTGGTATATCAATCTGTGATTGTGATATTCTTACTATAAGTATTTATTTGATTTTTTTTTTAGTTATATGTCAAGTACGTTGGTCAACTGGATATGTATATCAAGTATTAGTGCTTCATTAACATTCATATGGCTACATTATGGAAAGAAAAGAACTAAGAACTGTACCAAAGTAGTGTTCTATGAACCTACAAACATAAAAACCTGCAATTGTCTATGCTCATATGATATTAATTGTTTAATTGAAAATTGTCCAAGCTCTAAAACCAGAGAAATTATTTTGTGTTTACAAAAAGCAAGAAAAACAATGGATATTTGTATGTTTGTTATATCTAATAAGCCGATTACAGCGGAGATTATTGCTGCCTATAAACGGGGAGTACTTATTAGGATTATAGTTTCTAATTGCATTTTATTTGAATCAAAAGAAATTAAAGYCCTTAAGACTATTGGCATTAAATTAAAATACCAAAACAATTCTAGTTCTAGTTATATGCATCATAAATTTGCTATTGTTGACTCTACATGGTTAATTCAAGGTTCTATGAATTGGACACATCAAGCTACTTATGGCAATTGGGAGAATTTTATAATAACAGATTTGCAAAGTTTAATAATTCCATTTTCCGTAGGTTTTGAAAAAATATGGGAAAAAACTATTTTAGTTGCATAAAATATCTGTATTTTAAATATTCAATTGGAGTTTAATGTAAATTAAATATATTTATCATATTATTTAATGTGTTAAGAAAAGTTATTTGTATTTTTTCAAATATTTTATTTTTTATACCTATTCATATTTGAAAAATTATACTTGGGTACTATCAAATTTAAACAAGGCAATTTGTCAGGTTAATATTTTTATACTAAATTCTACATTGTAGATATTACATAGTATTAAATTGTTATTAATATGTAAACATAATAAAAAATGTATGAAAATATTGGTAATATTGATGTGTAATAGTTTAATGTACAGTTTTGACACTGTACAGGGTGATTCTTTTATCATTGAACACTCATTATTTCAAAAATTATTAATGTTTTTGAAAATATTATTTTACATAGTTTAAAGTTGTTAAAAAGCCAACGTTTTTATTAAAAAATTATATTTTTAAATATTTTTTATCCTTATAATTTTTTTACTTTTTTGAATGACAACATAGAGTTTTAATTTCATATTCCAAAGCAGAATATTTTTCTTAATATTTTGATTCATAAAAATTGAATTTAGGATGAATTTATGAGTTATAAGAATTTAAAGTTTAGACAAGCAGAGTAGTGGACAAACATTTTGCGGGGTAACCCCGTACTACTCCACTCTGCCAATCTAAACTTTAAATACTTATAACTTACTTATGAACTACTCGTCCTAAATTCGATTTTTATGAATCAAAATATTTAGAAAAATATTCTGTTTTGGGATATGAAATTAAAACTCTATGTTGTCATTCAAAAAAGTAAAAACATAAAAAAAATTAAGGATAAAAAACATTTAAAAATATAATTTTTTAACAACTTTAAACTATGTAAAATAATATTTTCAAAAACATTAATAATTTTTGAAATAATGAGTGTTYAATGATAAAAGAATCACCCGGTATATTGTGTACAAGGTATTGATATTGTTTACTTGTTAGATCATATATTTTTAATATAAACTATAAATCATWGAGAAACTAAATACTGGTGCTTAAACTTAAACAGAATTTAATTTTTTAATTTTTTAAATTCTCCATGGCTCTAGTTTAGTCAATTTTGGGTTTAGGACACAAGTTGATACATCAAAATGGCTTGAAAAAAATCGATAAACCCGAATATGATATTCAAATTACAGGTTGCCATTAAAAAAATGTAAGTTTTATTGCGCATGCGCAAGATACATGAGTTAAAAAAATTGTAAGTCGTAGAAATTTATGATCCATTAGTCTAGTTTAATGTTCCGCAAACAGAATTGAAAAATATTTTCATGGTAATGAGTGGTAAAGTGGCCCCTGTTTTTTGGGACACACGGTATATGTAGGTACACAACACACAAGAAAATATGACATAATAAAAGAATCACATTATTATAAATGTACCTAACATTTAACAAATTAAAATCTTAAAATCTTTCATGAAAAGAAATACTAGCTGAACCCGTGCACTTTGTAGCCCTTTAAAAATTCTACCTCTTATATGAYTAAAACTATGTGTTAAATTAATTTCCTGTGATTATGCTAGTAGTATATTTTTATGCATATAGATTGATAATGGTTAAAATATACTAAGTAATAATCTTACCACAATATTCAATTTAGTTTATCATTATGTAGTTTAATCAAGAAAGTTTAACAATTCAAACATTCAATTAAATAATATTTAGGCATATCAATTTTTAACAACTTCTACCCATAGGTCTAAAATATCTCTGTACCAAATAACCAAATATCGTCGCTATTGGTCCAGCCAACAAACAGACAGACAGAAATCCATTTTTGTATATATAGATAGATATTACATAATAATAAGTCATTTATTGAGATGAATATTTAACAATATTTAACATTATTAAAATAATCAAAAACAATGACTAATCAAGTATAAAATATCTCTTTGATTATACAAATATTTAAGGAAAAATATAGTATGTTAAACTAATATTTATAAATAATAATTACAGTAACTTCCATACTTTGCGCAACTAGACATTTGAAGTAGGGGGTGCTTAAGCTCCAGGTTTTTCTGTGACTCGATGGGACCTAACACCACTATTTGCCTATATGTTTGCCTATATTAACCACTAAAACAAAACAAAAACCATAGTTCTGGTTCTACAGAGGACAGTACAGGGTTATCAGGGAATACCAGATCATATTAGTATGTTAGGTACTGATTAAAATATACCATACATATGTATATATATATATAGCACAGACTATTTAAAATAACTAGACCGCTTCGACATCCTTATTTCTAATAAATTAMAATCAACACATCCAATAATTCAACATATAAATAACAAAATGTTATATTATAAAAATTACTATTGTGTTATAATTATAATTC